CACGCACCATCCTCCAGCCGCAGCTCGTGCGCTGCGCCACTTTCAATGGCATGCAACTTGTCGGCAGCAACGGGGGAAACCGCGACGCTCAGCAGCATCGCACAACCAAGCAATAAGTAGACATAACGGAGCATGACGGTGGGTTCTCGATTAGAAAGGAAGATCGGGTGAGAGCCGAGAAAACGGATCGGACGGGAATCATTCCCCAGCTAAGGCCATATTAATGCCCCGCTCAATTATTTTCAACACACCAGGAAATATTCCGTCTAATTACGAAAATAAATATTGCATTCTCCTCACCTCGCGGTAATCTAAAAGTTATGGACAGTTCAACGACACCTCGAGTTATTCAGTTGGCCGACCAAATCATGGCCGACATCGCTACGCGCGGCCTGCAATCTGGCGACCCCTATCTTGGCACGGCCGAAGCGGCGCGGATGCTGGGGGTCAGCACTACGTCAGCTAATCGCGCGATGCAGTTGCTCGTGCAACGAAACATCCTCAGCCGCCGCCAAAAACGGGGAACATTCATTGCCGACGGCATCCATGGCCAAGCCGAGCGGACCATCGATCGTGTTCACCTGGTCGTCAACAATACCTATCTCGCCACCGAAGGCATGATGGCGGACGGGGTGATTGTCGGCATTCAAAGTGTGCTGCCGCATGCCGAGATCGAATTCAATCACCTGCCCGGCAGTGACGATACAGCATGGGTTTCGGAACTGATCGCCAAAACGGCTCGCTCGCAACAAGCGGAAGGATTCGTGCTTGCCCGTTCGTCGCTGACATCGCAGCGGCTATTTCAAGCGAGCGGCCTGCCAACGGTCATTTTCGGTTCGCGGTTTCCTTCCATTCAAGCATTGCCGTCGATCGATCGCGACCACGTCGAAGCTGGTCGACTGCTGACGACGAAACTGTTCGAGCAAGGAGTTCGCCGCTTGGGCGTACTCATGCGAAGCCAGGTCCTGCCGGGCGATCATCCCTTCATGGATTCCATCTGGAAAACGGCCGCCGAGCTGGGACTCACGCCGAGCGATTTGACGGTCCGCTTTCTGCCTACCGACGAT